TGCCCGTCTTCCCCCGGGTCTTCAGAGACTGGCCTGGGGCCCTCGGGGCGAATCCTCTCACCCACCTCAAACGCAGCCCGCAGCAGGCTCTCCTCCCCACGTGGGGTTGCCAGGCCACACCCCGCTGCTCCCGCCCCCATGCTCCAGGGGCTTCCTCGCTGCTCTGGAAAGAAAATCCAGTCCCCCAGCATGTGCACAGTGAGCCTGCCCATGCTGGACAGGTGGGCAGCCTGCTGGCCAGCAGCTGGGGACTGTTCTGCAGGTGGGCACACCCACACCCATGCACACTCTGTGTCACACTCACGTGCACGCAGCCCCATGCGTGCGTAAACACAAGACACTTCCTGTTCACAGCCCACCTCGGAGGCCCCTGGTGTTGTGTCACCAAGGAGGGAGCTGGTTCTCTTGCTGGTGGCCGTACTGGGCCAGCTGGTTGGCTCGCTCACTCTTGTTTGTGTCGTGGGCATTTGCTCTGTAGTATTAACAAATCTTCAGTAAAGAAAGTGTCCCCAAGCCTGTCTGTGCTGTCCCTCCAGGAGCAGGGCACCTGGTCCACCATCACCTGGGGTTTCACCCAAGACAGGTGCTCATGCTGCAGAAGGTGAGAACCTGCTGCCAGGGGCCCACGACTCAGTGGGGCCGCCCGCCTCACTGCCAGCCCTCCTGGCACCCGAGCAATTTAGTCTGAGGCCCAGGTCTGGCCATCCTCTGCTGGCCTGGCCATCCTCTGCTGGCCTGGCTCCACAGCTCTCAGCTCAGGTTCAGCCCTGCTGCACACACGGCTGCACCCAGCCTCACCGTGGTGCTCTGGGGCCGAAGCCAAGGACAGAAGCAGCAAGTTCCCAGGAGGCCACCCAGAGGGCCCCCAGCCACAGGAGCAGCCCCTCATCCAGCTGCCTGGAGCCAGCCATGCCTGATTCCCTCCACACTTCCAGTCACTTCCCAGGATACGGCTCCATGATGACCAGAAAAGGCCAGCTCCCAGGGAGGGCAGCAGCGTGGCCACCCTGGCCATCCCAGGCTTCTGGTGAGTCTTCTGCCAGGGTCTCCACGTGTGGCCCAGGGTGCCCGCCCCCAGAGCCCCCAGACCTCACACAAGCCAGATTCCCAGATCCGCAGACCTAGGCCAGGGCCCCTTGGCCCGCTCCCAGACCCTGGGGCACACTGAGGACAGGGGTCAGGCAGGTCTCGTAAGAGCATCCAGGTGCTTCCTGGGATCTGGCCCCACTGGGGAGCAGGACAGGCAGGAGAACAGGCCTGGGTCCCTGGGCAGACGGGAGCCAGAGCCGGAGGAAGGGGGATCCAGGGTCCCAGGGCTCCGTCTGCAGGCAGGCCCCAGGAGACCCAGCCGGCCCTCAGCCGCCCCTCAGAAACGCCGCCAAGCTCTGGGAAGGCTGCCAAGAGGGCCAGCGGCAGAGCCGGCACCGAGAGCGCGGCGGGGACTCCCCAGAACGCCTCCACGGTTCCTTTTTAATTGGATTTAATTATTTTCCATTTAATTGCATTTCTAAAGCCCTCCCAGGAGGTTGACCCAGGATCTCTCTCTGCTCCAGCCTCCTTGGGCCGGGGTTCGGCTGCCGTCGGGACATGAGATGGGCCTGGAGGAGGGCCTGGGCGGGGGTCTGCGCCCTGCAGTGCACACTCCCTGGAGGGGCCCCTGCCAGCCCACCGGGCCCTCCGCCCCCCCCAGGGGGAGCTCCCCACCACGCCACCTGCCTCCCTCCCCCTCCTGCCAGACCCACTTCTGATCTTGTCACTCTGCCCAGAGGCTGGCCAGACCCCCACCCCACCTGGCAGGAAGGGGCCCCCCCTGGACCCTTTGCCCTTCCCATATCCACCTCTGCCGTCCGCTCCAGGCCTGCAGGGTCCTGAACCCCTCCTGACCCCTCTGTGCCCACCCCTGTGCTTGTCCACCCCTGTTCCTGGCACACTGCACAGACGTGCCAAGAATGTGTGGACACATCCAGCTGACCGGGCCTGACACTGGGACAACTGTGGTCTGTGAAACCTGGCCTCGTGACAGGAGGGAGCTCCACCAGTCCGGGGACCTGGCTGGCTTTGGCCACAGAACGTGGCAGGTGTGATTCGTGCTGGCCCCGGAGGGTGGGTGGTCTCCAGCTTTGTCCTCTTGGATCCCCCAGAGGAGGCCGTGGCAGGAGGCCAGGCTGGCCATGTGGAGAGCTGGGCCTCTGCAGGGCCAGTGGGGCCCGATGGCAGCAGGAACCCAGGCACGCGGCCAGCCTGAGTCAAGGGGACAGTCACGGTTGTCTGAAGCCACTGTGACGAAGGTTTGGTCACACAGCAGCAGGACCCCCCGCACCCCAGCAGGAGCACCCACCCACCCCTTCTCCTGCACCCCACCTGACCCTCACACCCGGGGCTGATTCTCATCCTCCAGCCCCAGGGGGTGGCGGAGTGTCCCCAGGCTGGTGGGCCACACCTCCCTGTTCACCTGGCACAATCTCCTGCCCACCCCTCGTTCAGCCCCTTGGAGCTGTGACCGAGCACTGAGCACCGCAAGGACGTGTGCAGAAGGAGCCGTACAGAGAACAGGGGGACCCAGGGGCACCCCAGGAGTGCTGGTGCCGTGTCCTCCACTCCAGGGCCACTGCTGCCCCAGGGAGCTCGCCCGCCTGGAGCCTCGCCTTAGCTTGTGACCCTGCAGGCAGACACAGGTGCTGTCCACGGCTGTGCTTCCCAGGGGCTGGCCACACCCAGGCTCCTGCAGAAACTCAGCACCTATCTGAGGATGGGTGTGTGA